GGTGGTCCCTCGCCTGCAAGGCGTGCATCGACCAATCCGACATCGACAACTCCCTTCGCGTACTCCCCGTGTACCTGTCTGGCTGCCACGAGCTGCTCATCATCGCGGGCCCCTGCTACGTCGACCGCCTCTGGTGCCTGATCGAGACGTTCACCTTCTTGTGTATGGGCGGCGACCCGTCCCGCCTCTGCGTCCTCCTCCCTGACTCGCGCGAGGGGGAGGGTGCGCACTCTCGCAGCCCCTCCCCCTCGCACCGCCTCTCGGAGCCGTCTGGCGAAGGCTCGAAGAGCCGCGGGAGGCGGCGCGAGCGGCTGGCCAAGCGGTTCGTCGACCTGGACGTCGGCGCCGCGAACTGCTACGAGGCCGACCGCGACCGGCTGCTCGGCGCCATCGAGTCCGGCTTCGACTCGCTCGACGAGTTCAACGCCGCTTGCTCCAGCGCGCTGCTCGCGGCGGCGCGCACGCCCTCCTGCGGGACGAGAGAGCGCGGCAGCAGGGCGGGGCCACTCCCGGGCAGGCTGAGCCGACTCGCGTCGCACATCTCCCTCTCTGGCCTCGAGCGAGAGGCTTCGTCGAGCTGGAGCAGCAGGCGGTGGGGGCGCGGCTCGAGCTCGGGGAGCGAACTCGGGAACACCTCAAGGGAGTGCAGCGGCCCTTGATTTCTCATGCGTGGGTTGGCCATGGCGACGCATGGAGACTTTTGTTTTCTGATTTCTCTTCCCCCCCTCTCGGTTCACGGTTGCGGACAGAGTCCCACACCGAGCTCTTAAAAGTCTAATGTCTATATGTCACATTGTCCGGACTCAAATGGGAAACCGACGGGAACGCACGCGTACACTTAAATTTGAATCAAAAGCCGTCGGCGGGGTCGCGCCCGGCGCTGGCCAACTCCAGCTCCTGCTCGGCCTCCTCCGTGCGCCTCCGATCCCGTTCGCGCCTCCGATCGAGCTCGAGACAGACGGCCTTGCGCTGTGGGTCGTCTCCGTGCCGCAGGACAGACATGACCGTGTGCAACTGCTCGCCAATCTCGCCACCGACTGGCAAGCCGTACGTCTCCTGGAACAGGACGACTGCTGCACGCGTGCGCTCGGCGTAGACGCCGTCGACGACGACGCCCACGTCGCGCGGCAGAACCTGCCGCAACGCAAGCTGCATCACCCTCACCTGCTGCTGCCGCACGCTCGCCGCCTCCTCCTCCTCCGAGCCGGCAGCGCGGGCGGACGACGACGCGGCGGCGAGCGACTCCGCCTCGAGGCGCGAGAGGTGGAGGTCGCGCAGGGTCGCTTGTGCAGCGTCGTCGAGCACCTCCGTCTGCGCCTCCTCGCCGCGAGTGCTCCTCAAGAACCGCTGCACCGCTGCGCGCGTCCGCGGACCGTAGACCCCGTCGGCGGTGACCACGTCCGCCCCCAGCACCGCCTGTTTGTGCGTCAGGTGTGGGTGTGTGCTGGCCAGTGCCGTTCCTGCGTCTGGCTCTGGGAACCTGTTCGTGCGACAGAGCTGAGTGTACGAGCGTGGGATTTCTACCGTTGCTGTGCCGTTCTTAACTACGCATTACGTCTCCGTATTATGTATCAAGCGCCGCAACCCTCCGCCGGGTTGTGTGTGAGAGCTGGGGGGGAGTCCGCTCCGCTATGCCTGGCTATTCGTACCTGCAGCCGCCGCTGCAGCAGCGCGACGTCGATCTCGACCGCGGCGGCATCGTGCTCGTACGACCGCACCACGCCGAGGAGCTCCGACTCGTCGAGCCGGTTGCGGTGCGTGTGCCTACCCCACGCCCGCCGGTGTGACCACGGCGCCGCCCGCCGCACAGCTTCGCGCAGCTGCGGGCGGTGGGTGCCGCAGCGCCGTCCAAGTCTTCTCAGCGACGCGCCCGTCGACCCGCAAGCCGCACTGCGCCTGCGAGAGCTCGACGGCGGCCGTCATCCCTCGGCTGCATCTCGGCTTCACCTCGGCTCCACCTCGGCTACATCTCGGCTTCACCTGGGTTGCACTTCGGCTGCATCTCGGCTTCACCTGGGCTGCACTTCGGCTACATCTCGGCTTCACCTGGGCTGCACTTCGGCTACATCTCGGCTTCACCTGGGCTGCACTTCGGCTACATCTCGGCTCCACCTGGGCTGCACTTCGGCTACATCTCGGCTCCACCTGGGCTACACTTCGGCTACATCTCGGCTGCACCTCGGCTACATCTCGGCTGTATCCGCGCCTGGAAGAGCTCGAGGCATTGCTGCGTCAGCGGCCTATAGTGCAGCTATAGTGTGAGTACACCAACATTTTGGGCGGGAGTACGGTCTCGTGCCGCGTACTCGGAGCACCGCGTGAATACACGCGGCTACGAATACCGCTGAATACGGCCGCAGACAGCCGAGTGCGTCTCCTCTCGAGTGCCAGTTGGGACTGCAGCGGTCCCCATCCCGCTTCTAGGCTCCTCGGCCCGAACTCGCCGTCCACCTCGAGCGCGTCGGTCCCAAAGTAGACGTTTAGCCGCCCCTGCGCCAGTCAGTCAGTCAGTGCTACACACGCCCTAGCACGGACCCTCTGGCCCATCTCGGGCAATCTCGGGCAATCTCGGGGGGTGATCTCGGGGGGTGAGGGGTCAGTCAGTCAGTGCTACACACGTCCTAGCATGGACGACGGGGCACACACGCACTCGCGGAGCACAGGGCGTTGCACACGAGGCGTTGTGTGCGTCCT